CCTGCCTCTGCCTCCCGAGTGCTGGGATTAAAGGCGTGCACCACCACGCCCGGCAGTTATTATTTTTATTTTAATGTGTATGCATGTATTGCCTACATGGTTAAGTGTATTTGTGTTGTACAATGCCCATAGAGATCAGAAGAGGGCATCAGATCCCTTGGAAGTGGAGTTATGGATGGCCTTGTCACCATATGGGTAACTGGGAATAGGAAGAGCAGCTAGTGCTCCTAGCCACTGAGCCCTTTCTCCAGCCCTCTGATTTCACCTTTTTCTTTGTGAGGAGGATCCTTTTTGACACAGGGTCTCCCTCTAGCCCCAGCTGGCCTGGAACTCACTATGCAGACCAGACTTGCCTTGAACTCCCAGAGAGCTGCCTGCCTCTGCCTCCCCAGTGTGGGATTAAAGGTATGCACCACCATGCCTCATTGTTACATATGATGCAGGAATCAAACTGGGGTTACCAGGTGCCTTTACCTATTGAGCTATCTCACTGGCCCTGTTTTATTTTGAAGAAAGGAATCACAAAGTTTCCCAGGATGGCCTTAAATTTGTGATCCTCCTACCTCAGCTGAGTAGCTAGGAGGAAAAGTCTATACTATCAGATTTTGCTTCATACTGTTATTTCATGGTAATAAATCCACCATGTTAAATTAGATTCTACAGGGTAGAGCAGTTTATATACTGGTACCAACTAACTTATTATTCATCTTAGTATTGATAACAGCTGTAAAACTAATCTTGTTCCTTATCTCAATGTTCCTTTAAGTTGAAGTTGATATAAAAATTCCATTGACAGCCTGACATGGTGGCCCACACCTTTAATCCCAGCACCCAGTAGCAGAGGCAGGTGAATCTCTTTGAGACCAGCCAGGGCTACAAAGAGATCTTGCCTTAAAAAAAAAAAAAATTCCATAGAATAGTGGAGCTCTTCTAGATAACATGGTCAAAGGGGACTTCACTGGGGAGATGACAACACTTTCAACATGAAGAGTCAGCCCTATAAAAAAAAGTGAGCCGGGCGTGGTGGTGCACGCCTTTAATCCTAGCACTCGGGAGGCAGAGGCAGTCGGATATCTGTGAGTTCAAGGCCAGCCTGGTCTACATAGTGAGTTCCAGGACTGCTGGGGCTACAGGGAGACCCTGTCTCAAAAAGACCGAAAAAAAAAAGAAAAAAAGAAAAAAAAATGCGACAGTCTTATAAAAATAGTAACAGCTAGCTAAGCCTGGTGGCATATGCTTGCAATTAGGAGTTTGAGGCCTAGGCGTAACATACAAACAGAGAAGAAACAGCCTAGTCCACAGCCCAGAGGTTGGGAAGGGTTTGGAAAGAGCCATAGAAAATGAGAGAAAGGCAAATGCGAAGGCTCAGCAGGTTAAGGAACTTGCCACCAAGCCTGATGACCTGAGTGTTCTAGCCCCAGGACCACCCCAGAATTGACTCTTGCAAGTTGTCCTCTGATTTCCACCTGTGTGTGCCTGAAAAATACATATACATACAATAACCAAATATAATAAAAGAAATTGGGGTTGGAGAGATGGTTCAGTGGTTAAAATCACTGGCTTCTCTTACAGAGGACCCAGGTTTGATTCCCAGCATCCATATTGTAGCTAACAACATCATAACTCCAGTTCCAAGGGAGTCGATGCCCTCTTATGACTTAAGAAGGCATTGTATGACAGAGGTGCACTTATATAAATGCAGGCAATACAGTCATACACATAAAAAATAATAAAAAACATTAAAAAAATTAAGGCCAGGTTTGTGGTGTACATCTTTAATCACAGCACTTGGAAGGCAGAGGCAAGTTATGAGTTGGAGGTCAGCCTGGTCTACATAGTGAATTTTGGGTCATCCAGGGTTAGTGAGCTCTATCTAAAAATGAAAAATAAAAAAATGACAGAAAAGAGCTAGGCATGGTGTCTCAGGACTGTAATTTCAGAACTTGGGAGGGTGAGGAAGGAGGATACTTATGAGTTTGAGGTCAAACTTGGCTTCAGAGTGAGACCCTGTTTCAAAAAAAAGAAATATAAAATATGACAGTGAGTGTGGTCAAAGGCACAGATGCAGATGGAGAGATGGATTGATGGGTTAAATAATGCAGAGACAAGACCAGACTTAGATTTTAAGAAGTGCAAATCTGGCTGCTGTATATTTCCAGTGTCAAGGCATTATTGCCTCGGTAAGTATCAATTTTAGCATTTCCCCTTGGAACTTGCTAAATCTCACAGGGAAAACATCTCTTCTGTTGTGGCTGCAACTTGCACCTTGGTCCCCAGAGATAATTCAGCAGCTTTTTCTCGACAAGGGATCCTTTTTTAGGAGTTAAGGACACAAAGTGGAGGAGGGATGAGAGCAAAGTCAGAGATGTGGACTTGAAAGACAGGGAGGCAGACTGTGCGAGGAGAGGCAGGTAAAGCCAGACTTGGGATAAAGCCAGACTTTAAGAGTCCAGGAGACAATCTAGGCAGAGTTAGATCTTCATCTGGAGAGGAAACGCGGGCTGGCGTTTTGAAGATCCTTCACGTGTGCGGAATGGATTGGAAAAGGCAGAGTAAGGAATTGTAGAAACCACGATCACGGTGGAGAAAGCTGGTCGCCTAAACCCGAGGGGTGGTGGCGCATGGAGGGAAAGGGGGGCAATTAGCAGGGGAGGTGGGCCAGTATGCAGTCCCGGGCTTCCAGTGATCTCAGCGGTCCCCGGCGAGTGGGACTTCATAGTCCTGCTGCCTGGTTCCCGCGCGGCAGGGTAATGGGCGTAACCTGCGCGAGCCATCGCCCCAGTGACCGGGCGTGGCGTGGCTACGGGGCGGGGCCGTCGAGGCCGCTGCGTCACTCGATGTTGGCGAGGGTGCGCGCGTGGGGGGGGGCGGGGGAGACGCTGGGCGCGTTCCCGGGGTCACGTGGTGCGCAGCGCGCAGAGTCCTTCTGTCGGTTGGTCCTGGAGCGGCGCAGCAGGAGCGGGGCGGTGAGGTGAGCTCGTGGCTAGGCGCGGCGACGCGAAGCTAGTTGGCCGGGACCGAGTCGGGGGCTGGCCCCATGTGGCGCGCGAGCGGCGCCGTGCGGGCGGGGACGGGGACGGACGCTGCCTCGGCTCCGGGTCTCTGGTCCTGCCCCGCTCCCCGCTTGGCCCCCCGATCGTTCGGCCCCGGAGAGAGGCCTGGGGACCGCTGCTGAGAGCCTGGCGGGCGTGCGAGCGGCGCCCAATCCCCGGGGCTCCCCACGGGAGCGACGGCCGCCGCAGCCAATTAGCGCGGCCCTAGGGGGCTGGGCCGCGAGCTGTGGGCCCGGGGCGCGGAGCCGGGCTGTGGGGGGTTGGGAGGGGCGCCACGGCTGCGCCTCGGGGCTGCGGGAATGGGGTGTAACCTCGGCTGTTGTCTTCTCCCGGGAAGCGCGCTTTCGTCTAGTCGCTTTACTATCCTGTTCTGGGAAGCACAGTCTTTCTCAGGACCCTGAATATGGGAGTGTCCCCTTTATAGTTTGAAAAATCTGGGCGTCGCTCCCCGTTACTTAAACTCCAGCCTTGGGATTTTTAATCTGTTTCTAATCCTCCACCCAATTTAGGGCATTGCCGCCTTTCCTTCGATTCCCCCCCTCCCCCAAACTGGGCGTATACTCATATTCAAACCTCTGATCGCAATAAGTAAACCCTTTCCAGTTTGGGGTTCAGCCCCGTAGTAGGTCCTTCAAAAGTGAGGTCCAGTGACCAAAGTTTTGGAATAATTTATTGCAGCTCCACAACTTCAAAGAAAAAAAAAATCCTTCCAGGCTCCAAATCTGACACGTTTTCAGAAGTTCTTAAATTTAGGGATTAGTTCTTTTTCTTAGCCCCGCGGTCTGTGGTGCACATCGTTTTCAAGTTCTCCAAATCCTATGTTTATGTTTCCAGTTTCACCAATAAGGGAATTCGCTGCCTTTTCCTTAAGTCGGTCTTTGGGGTTGCGTGTTCTCTTGCGTTCTTCAAGCTACCTTCTTTCCTGGAGCAGGCTTGTTTTCCTATTTGAGAGTGTGTCCATAAAGATAATGTTTCCTTTAGTAGGAGCTAAACCATCTGGGGACGCAGCAACTTTCCAGGTTTAGATGCTTCTTGAATATGGAGGTACACCCTTCTAAGTCCTTTCCTAGATGCAAGTGGTTCTTGCGCATCCTTCCTCCTCCCCACATTCTTCCTCTTTTTTCCTTTTTTATTAATTGAAAAAAATTTGTATTTTTTCTATCAGTCATTTGTTTATTTGTGTGTTTGCTCAGCCCTGGAATGCATGTGGAGGTCAGAGGACAAACATGCAGGAAGTCAATTCTCTGCTTCCTCCATGTAGGGTCCAAGAATTGAACTCCAGGTTAGTAGCTCTATCTACTGAGCCGCTCACCTGCTAGTCCTCCTTTTTTGAGACTGAGTCTTGCTATGTAGCTCAGGCTAGCCTGGAACTTACTACATAGCCCTGGCTGGCACTGATTTGCCTGTCTGGGATAACAGGTGCCTGTCACCATGACTGCTTCTTTCCTATCCCTTTTTAGCTTTTCTGTTACCCAAGATAGTTTCTCTTGGGACTGAAGAGATGGCTCAGCAGTTAAGAGCACTACCTGCTCTTGCAGAGAACGTAGGTTCAGATCCCAGCATCCAAATCACAGCTCACAGCTTTCTGTTTTCTGGCCTTTGTAGCACAGGGTGCACTTGTATGCTTGCACGCAAAAACTAATAACCCATAAAGTAAAATCTTAAAGAGTTTTACTCGTGTTTCCTTCTGTCTTCAGGAACCACATTCCCCTTAGGTGCTCTCCAAGTCTCCTTTCAGTGCCCATTTCCTCTTCCTTCCTCTGTTGAGTGCAGATCTGTGAAGCATTTTTTCTGAAGGTACTTCTGTAGCCATACATCCTGAGCCCATTCCCCCGGGATCCTTTTCCATGCACACACATGACACAGCTTTTGTTTGTTTTTGAGATAAGGACTCACTTTGTGGCCCAGACTGTCCTAGAACTTATTATATAGCCCATGCTGGCCTTGAATCCATAGGAATCAGCCTGCCTCAGCCTCTAAAGTGCTAAGATTTCAGATGTGAGCCACCATGCCCAGCTAACATGGCTTTTCATGGCTTTTATCTTCCTGCAAACAGGAATTCTCTTCTTGCCTTCTACCCAGCATTTTTCTGGCTCCCTTGGACACTTTCTCTTACCTCTAGAAGTTCCTCTCTCTTCCCCTTGTGTTGGAGATGTCCACAGGACTAGGGTTGCCTGATCTGATACTGGAGTCAAATGGGAAGGATGCCTTGTATTTGCTTGGTTATTTACAGGACTCCTGATCCTCTGGTTGCTTAACTTCCTGTACGATTCTTATTAAGTCCTAAATGGTTTTGCATACTTGATCCCAGCATTTGAGATAGGATGATTGTTGGCAGATTCCAGTCCTGCCTGGTCAACATAGTGAGTTCCAGGCTGGCTTGCAGTACATAGTGAGACCCGGTCTTAGTCATACAAACAAATCTGACTGGGTAAGTTCTATTTTCTTTTTCTTTATCTCTGTACTAGGTGGGGGTTTCAAGAGATTTTTCTAGTACTGTATCGCTTTTAGCCCATAAACTACCCTCTGTTAGTTTTTTTTTCAAACTTAAGAAGTCATTTGGGCTGGGAGATCTGGCTTATTGGTAGAATACTTGCCTAGCATGTGTGGAGGCCCTGGGTTTGATCCTCAGCCATGGGGGAAAAAAAACAACAATGTGTATGTTTATGTCTGTGTGTCTCTCTCTCTCCTGTTCATCTTCATACATATGTTGATCTTTTCTCCCAACTCCCTCTTTAAAAATCTACAAATACCTGGGACATCTTGTCTCTTAGGAGCTTCCCAGCCGGTACCCATCCCTAATATTTCCCTTTCCCTTTCCAAATTTTTTACATAGGATTTTGCAGCCTGGAACTTCTAACCTATTAATTTCTCCACAGCTGGAATCTCAAGTGCTTAGGGGATAATGACACCTCTGACCTTCCTTCCTTTTGGGAAATACTTGAATGTGCAGCTGCAGGAGGCCTATGGAGTAGGGGAGGGAGTTTGGATCTGAGACATTATACAAGGCAGGGGTACCATATTTCTAGGACCAGCCTTCTGAATCACATTTGGAAACTGGACATTTGCCAGGCGCTCCTTCCTGGGGATGCTGGGGCATTTAATGGTATTCTCAGGAACCTGTTGGAATTAAGGGGTCTTGTGGGGAAGTGATCTGAATTCAGGGTTAGAACTTGAATAAAATTGACCATTTTGTATTTTTGGAACAGCTAAGCTGTTCCATATTTCTTGTCCCTAAAAGCCTAGAACTAAGCTGTGTTGTTTCAGGAAGGGAAATAGATCCCACATTCAGATCATTTGTTCATTAGTAAGTACTGAATTTATTTAAAAAAAAATCAGAAATCCGCAGTCGGAGCAGTACCTAATAAAATACAGTGTACTTAAAGTGAACAGGTACTTTGTCTCTTTATTTGGCAGTTGCTCCTTTATCTGTGTAGTGTGGTAAGTGCACTTGAAGTGTCCTATACCAGTGCTTCTCAAACTTGAATATGCATGCAAATCCCCTGGTTGTCTAGTTAAAATGCTCCTAATGTGGTAGGTTGAGGATGGGGTCTGAGTATCTGCATAGCTAATTTTTGGGTGGTGCTAAGACTATTGAACCCATATACACAGCCAAAGAGTTCTCAGTGCAAATAGAAAAACTGATCATTAGCCAAATGCTGGGGTATTGTTTTCCATTTTCTCTTCTGTTCAGACACATATCTCTTAAAGTTTGTACAAGGCTATGGTTCCCTTATTAGCCCTTATTAGGACTTTTTTTTTTTAAATAGAGACAGGATTTTGCCTTGAATTATGTATGTAACCCAACTAGCCTTGAACATATGGTTCTATGCCTTAGACCCTGGAGTGCTGATGTGCTGGGATTACAGATTTGGGGCACCATGCCCTGAATTTATTTATTTCCTTCCTTCTTTCCTACTTCCCTCTCTCCCTTCATTCCTTCCTCTCTTCCCCCCCCTTGCTATGTAGCGCATGCTGACCTCTAACTTGTGGTTTTTCTGCTTCAGCCCCCCAAGTGCTGCTGCTATAGATAGAGGCCATTGCTAACCTATAGCTTTTTGAACTATCTGTAAAACTTCTCGTTTCTCTCTACATTGCCAAATTTAAGTGCTACATATATTTTTTTTTAACCTGGGGTGCTGAGGATTGAGGGCCTGTGCTTTCAAGATACATGCTCTAATATTGAGTTATACTTCAAGCTCTGATAATGACAGAGAACCATTTTAGTAAATACTGCATAGTCAACTTGTTTCTGATTCCTCACCTTTCCTGAGATACCTCAGATTAAGTCATAGGACTTGGCTTTCTGGGCTTTTTTTTTTTTTTTTTTTTTTTTTTTTGGTGATGTGGCTTGAATATAATTTCCTTTGGAGGACATATTTCTGCCAATTAAAGATGAAAGTTGACTACAAAGCTTTGTGCATGCAAAGCATGTGCTTAACACGGAGCTATTCTCTCACCTGCGAATTTGGTTTTGTGTGTGTGTTTTCGGGGGTGTCTTTTTAAGACAGTGTCTCCCTATGGTCCTAGCTGGCCTGGAACTCACTATGTAGACCAGGACTTGATCTCATAGAGATCCACCTGCCTTTGCCTCCTGAGTGCTGAGATTAAAAGAGTGTGCCACCGTGCTTGACTGGTTTGCTTTAATTATTAGGGTTTGTTTTGTTGGGTTTTTTTTTTTTTTTTTTTTTTTTTGAGACAGGGTCTCCCTGTAGCCCCAGCTGTCCTGGAACTCACTATGTAGACCAGGCTGGCCCTGAACTCACAGAGATCCACCTGCCTCTGCCTCCCAAGTGCTAGAATTAAAGGCATGTGCCACCACGCCTGGCATTTCTGGGTTTTTAAAATGGACCTAAGAAAGGGCAGGGGAAAGGTGGGTGCCTGCGCCATGAATGGAAGCCACTGGTTTGTCTGTAAT